CCCCCCCCCCCCACCCCCAAAGACTTTTTCAACGGATGCTTTGCCCCAAAAAAGCACCGCGGTTTTCTCCTAGCCCTCAAAACAAGCTCCCACGTGAAACGCCGTTTAAAACTCAAACAAACTGCCCAAAATACCTTCGACAGCCCGTAACCATCACCCTCGCAAGTTTGAAATCTGGGATTGATACTATAGCATTAAATGGTGAATAAAATGTGGTTTTTTTTTGTGGGAGGGGGGGTCCCATTTCCCTCCAAATTATTACCATATCTAAATCCCCTATCGCTGAAACCATCTTCTCCCCATTTGCTTACCTCAACTACTCCTTCTCCTTCAACTTAATTCTCCGCAATAAATCCTCTTCGATTCTTCAACTACACCCTTGTTTAAACGATGGGTGGATCCCTTCTTTGCGTGGTGACAAAGGCAAAAAGCAACGAAGAGGGTGACGGTGTATTCATCGTTATCAAAGAGACTACATAAATCATCAGCTTGAAATATCAAGTGTCACAAAGGCTTAAAATATCAATGCAATCTCTTTCACTGAAGTTCATATGTGAAAGGGAAAAGAAATTCAGTTTTTCGATTGACAATGATGAGGACTTGAGTTTAATGTTCGAGTATTATCGTCGTAATGGATTTTCAGATGAAAATTTGTATGCTATCTCCGCTGGGGAATCCTTAACTTCTCAGAACACGCAAACTACGCCAGAAAATGTGTAGGCATTAGGTATTACACTAGATTTCTTTATGAGTTGGCTGATAGGTTATGAGTCGGTTGTTACCTTATGCATTGGTTGCTGAGGTTATGAGTTGGTTGTCAAGGTTACGGACTGGTTGGTAAGGTTATGTGTTGTTTGGCTTATTTTATGAAATAGTTTTAAGATTTTTTTCTAAGGTTATAAGTTCGTTGTTACGTATACTAGTTGGTTGCTATGGTTAGGCGTTTGTTGTTAAGTATACGCGTTTGTTGTTAAAGTTACGGGTCTATCGTTAAGAATAAGGGTTTGTTGTTAAGGTTATGTGTTGGCTGTTAAGTTTATGAGTTTGTTGTTAAGGTTAGGAGTTCGTTGTTGAGGTTATGTATTTTTTTACTTTTATAGGACTATCCCGACAGAAAATTCACGATGCGCAGCTACCACGCTCACCCAAACATGTAATGATGAGTGTATTCCTAATGATAATCCTACTGGAGACTCGATCATGTTACTGGAAGACATGATTAACAACCAAACAAAGATCCCAGCTGAGTGACATACAACGATACGTGAAATTGGACAGAAATTTGATAGTGCTGCTGAAGTTAGATTAGCACTTAAATACTATTCAATTGGTAAAAGGTTCGAATATGATTTTTACCACAATGAACAAAGATGTATAAGAGTCTGTAGGCAATAAAAATTGCCTTAATTCCTAGCAAAGAAGCTCAAAACTGACCCAAAAAAAAGGCTAATATCTCTCAAACCATAAGGAATTTGGCAAAATGGACTGGAGCAAACTGAACGCTTTGGGGTGGGTTTGGTTGGCTTCGTCTTGTCGAGATAGTCAATTTTCATATATAATTCGTCCAATTCCGATTTACGGTTTGAAAGTTATGACTTGTTCTTCATAGCATGTTCTGAAGCCCACCTGCAAGACTGGACTTTGCCTAAACATTAAAGTTCGTCTACAATGCTAAGTTTGCCTGACAACTTAGCTCACCTGATAGTTTCACCTACGAGGTTCGCCACACAGCGAGGCTCGACATCAGAAGACGAGGTTCGCCTTGCAGCGAGGCTCGACATCAGAAGACGAGGTTCGCCATGCAGCGAGGCTCAACATCAAAAGACGAGGTTCGCCACGTAGCAAGGCTCGACATCAAAGTTCATCACTGAGGACAAAACTCCTCTAGGAAATGAAGCCCTTTCAGGAGACGAAGTTCATCCACAGATGAACCTCGTCAAACGGCACCTCACCCCTCAAAATACGAACTTCGTCATTAAAGATGAAGTTCGCCCAGAAACAAAATTCGTCATTAAAGATGAAGTTCAGCCAGAAACGAAGTTCGTCATTAAAGATGAAGTTCATCCAGAAACGAAGTTCGTCATTAAAGATGAAGTTCGTCGTTGTCATTATTGACGAACCTCGTTTGTCACCATTTCCAGAGGCTACATTTAAGGAGGGTTAATGACCCATAACTCACCCATTTAAGGAGAGTTAATGACAATTAACTCATCCATTTAAATGAGAGTTAATAACCATAACTTCCTCATTATAAGGGGAGTTAAAGCCCTTAACTCACTTCATAATGGTCCTAAGCCTATAAATAGGCATGATCAACATGAAAGGAAGGGGGAGATTGAGAGGCTAGTCAAAAAGCCTATCTCTCCTTCACTCTCATGGATCTTCATAGATCATCTGGTAATCATTTGGCCTTAGAGTGTCGAAGCTCGTAACAAGCATGACGAGGGTCATTACAATGACAGACTTCGTCTCAAACAACAAAGCTTGTCATTGGAAACAAGATTTGAAGCGCGTCAATGAAGACGAAGCTTGTCAGCGAAGATGAAGCTTGTCTAACGAACCTCGCCACGCAACGAGCCTCATCATCTACACGAAGTTCGGCTGTAACGGCCACGAGGACCAAGTCAGCCTACGTGGGCTAAATCTAAGAAGTACGTTACGCTCCATTAATCAACATGGGCTAAATCTCAGGAGTCGGTTATGCCCATGACCCCACGATTGTAGCACGTTAATTACGTGCTAAAGCTTTATAAATAGCCGCAAGCAGTTATGGAGAGGGGGCTGGCAGTTTGGTCTTTTAGACTTTTGGCAATCATCATAGATCAAAGCTCCTACGTATAGATCTAGAATTTGAACCTCGATTCTAACAGTTTAACGAACGTAAGAAGCTTCAGCAATCTTGTTCTGATCGTCAACGGGAGGCAATCTCGACTCAAGCATTGAGGGAAGCATCCTTTTGCCACCAAGAACCCACCTTAAATAAAAAAGAAGCTGAATTAATCTTCTCTTCCTCTGTAATCGAGAGATTGTGAGTTATTGTATAAGGGTTTCGTACCAAGTGATCGAACCCAATTTTCTTAAAACAAGAGAATCAATCAATCCTTAAATTTTTCGACCCTACAAACGATGGCGACCATAGTGGGAGCAGCCATTCTTTCGGACGAGGTGGTGGTGGCACAATCAGATAAGATTGCTATGGGAAAGGACATCAAGACTTTGGTCATTGAATTTGACCAGTCCAAATACGAGGAGTTCCTCTCCTCTGGTAAGTCTAGCTCCACGAAGGCACGTAAGTGCCGTCGAGTCTCGTATGAGACTTCAGCCCAAGTGGCTTCTGATGATTCAACTTGAATTAACCTCGAGGAAAAGTCCATGCCCCTCAAAGAGGAGGCTCTAGTAACTAGCCGTCAGGCTAAGAAATGAGTTGTTAAGCAACTTAGTCGAACCTCAGCTTCTACTAGCCAAATCTTGGCTTCTGATAACGAAGCTCGTCTAGCTTCGGCTGAAGTGGGTGTTTCTATTGGTCTACTGTCGAGACGTGCACGACAATGTCAGCGCTAGAAC